TATAACCGATGAAAGTGAAGTAGAGCCAATTAGTTCTGACATTGAAGGGAGTATTTAAGTTTACATGAGGACCGGACCATACCAGAGGTTGTCGTGTAGCCGCAGCTCAGTATTTGGTGCCCTAGAAAGGCGAATGGTGTACCAAGAGTAGTGCTGCATTTCTTGAAATCAAGTTCCGACTGAGTATTTTTAATGTTTTCTTTTATGTGTTACAGTAGCGCGTGTGATGTGATTACAAGTGCGTGAGTGTGTGCCTTGTTGGTCGTAACGGACTGTCAGGTCCAGCTGTAACATGGCCTGGTTTCCTGTACATGGCGATGCCTCGGAAGTCGTGTACTCTGTATGCGTGGGAGTCACACTGTGTGCGCGGAAGTCGTATGCTGTGTGCACGGTAATGTTTTCTGAACATGTATTAGGCTCTGTCCTGGCCGGTGCTGTCCTGGTTCACGTTTTTAATGTGGTTCACGTAGTTAACGTGGGAACTCGCAAGTTCAAGTAAGAGTATGTGTCAGATACTTCGTATGAAGACCTATGTTTACTTGTGAAAGCGAAGTGCTTTATTATAGTCCAAGGTATGAGAACGTATTTCTGTTTTAGGGCCTCGTATGTGTGATAGATGAGAGAACAGGCAACTGTGTATGTTGTCCTTATAGTTAACAATTTGTTTTTCACGCAGATCATGATGACTACAACCCCGACAATGCTTGTAAACCCTCAGGTGCTCCTGCTGCTCTCGTTTTGTTGTAATTTGATAGTTCACGCGAAACATGATTATCATTTGCTATATTTTGAAGTTCAAAACTTTTAAGGGTTGTATTACAATAAAGGATTAACTTTAACACGCTATGAATTAAAAATAATACGTGACATTTTTGTGTTCTAATGTGTTCACCAGTGTTGCAGTTTGCTCCGAATATTGTGTCGTTGACAAGATTGGGGTTTGATTTCGAGGGATTCGTAGAAGTCTCTACAACAATGATCAATGAGGAAGACGTTGTGATTGCTAATCGAACATGGTCAGGTACGGCCGAGCGCTGGTTAGATTAAGCCTACACCGCTACAATCGGTTACTTATCGGCTGATCTTACGGCAGGGCAATTCAAGCGGCCGCCGAACACATGGTCCTTTGGTGCTGTAAATGAACGTCTGAGGCTTGGTCGGCTTTCGTAGATTTTGCGCAGTTGCCTCCTTCCCTTTGCAATATGTGATGGTATCCATCCCTACACATAGTTTCCGTTTTTTTGAAATGTTTTCAAATGTCATACAGTTGCCGTTTCTTAAGAGAATATGTGATGAATTTTGGAAGCTCGGAATTCCATGGTTCGCAATACATTTATCTCGATTTCTTTTAATTTTGCAAAACAGTGTGACGATTCGCTAGCGCCAGTACGGCGCGACGGCTTGCTGGCGCGAATGTGGTACGAACGCAGCAGAACGAAAAGCTGTAGTGCGTTTGCCTGGAGGTAGCCATATCAGCGCGTTCCAGACTGAAATGAAGTCTGGGATGGTCGACCGTTGTAATATTTAACAAGAGTTAATATCTGTTAGCAGGTGGTGATAACTGATAGACCGTATGCTGTTCACTGTCAACCGCACGAGGACGTGAGACAGTCGGAGGTAGCCATGTCTGTGCATCTAGAAAATAATAGAGACGTTGCAACACTCTAGCGAAGTAATTATTCCAGTGCAGGAAAGGAACATGAAGTTGCAGGGGGGCTGGTCTGTGCTGCACTGGGATATGTGTCGAGTTGCTGTTGGTTTACATACTTAGGTGTTATCGTGTGTCACTACGTCCCTCACAATACACTTTTGTGTGATTGTGACGGGGACATGTTTGCGGTATGGTTGGTCTGTAACTGTTCTATACTGAATTGAAAAAAAAAGAGTGTAAGAAAAAAAATGAGGTTCTTACTATCATTGCAGGGCGTTTGCCGGTCCAATGATATAGCAAAAGGGAATAGTGATTCCGGACTAGCATAAATAGTACTTGAAAAAAAAAAGCGTAAGAAAAAAAATAGTTCTTACTATCATTGCAGGGCTTTGTGCCGGTCCAATGATATGGCTATAGGGAATAGTTGTTATTCCGGACTAGCGAAAACAGTACTTGAAAAAAAAGAGAAAACAGAAAAAGCTACAGACTAATCATTCCGATCTAACATAAAGATGATTAAAGTTTTGTAGGGCTTACTGCCGGAACAAAACAGACTGTCACCCGAGTCTGAAGGGTCAATATAGACCGGACCAGACGCTGTTTTGTCAGGAGTATCGACCGATGTTTTTCTGTGTACAGATAACTAAGATTGTGACGGAGCGCGTGCGAGGACGCACGCATGTCAGTATGGCCGTGACGGCACGTGCGACGACGTCGGTGTAGCTAGACAGAATTCTTGTAAATAACACGTGCTCTGCACACCTGCACTATTGCACCTGCGATGGTGCCCGTTTTGCTTGTATAAAACGGACGGAGCGGCCGCCGTTAAGACAGTCTTGGCTCTGACGTGGAACAGTGCACTTGTCGTATTCCGTTACTAGTTTATCCTCGACTCGTTGGATAATTAATTCGTGTAAACGAATTAATTATTATTCCTAACTACAAAAATCAGTCTCTGTACTATACCCACTATACTTCCTATATATATATATATATATATATATATATATATATATATATATATATATATATATTATCAATAAGGAATGTCCGCTAAAAGAAATGAATAAAACACATGGCAAGTGAGAAACACGTTTATTTAAATTTTTAAAACAAATTTCATTACCACAATCATTATTCTAGTTTCAAAGGTTATGAATACGTATAAAGAAGCATACCGTATTGCTATAACATTAGGTTAGTATATCTTAACGTGCAGTAAAATTTTAAATTGTTACTTATTATACATTAACATAGAATTTGCCATGCAAGTGTTAAAAATGGGGTGAGGCCAACGAGACCAGATAAATGACGTAAACAGTTGAGCTACGATTTCCGCTAGGTAATTTATAGTCGGTGCTGGAGTTAGTATAACGGGCTTTTGTGAATGCAAGTGTAATCTTGCATGAAATGTTATGCGTTGTTTATTTTAGTTTTTTTTTAAAATTAATTATCATTCTTGGTATTTTTTATAGTTGATTTTTATTGTTTCGATTGTCTGATTCGGACACTAAATAGACTAGGTTTTTTAAAAATACGGCTCATTATATTTAACATAGGTAGAATTAAACTTTACTCATCTTGTTATTTATCAAAAAAAAAAAAATTAAATTTGATCTGAAAGTTGTTTAAATTTTTTATCTTGTCTCGCTGGCCTTACAAGAGAATGTATGTAATTATATCTTTCTGTAATTCTAATTTTCATACGGGTGGATGCGGTAGATGTCAGTGACCTAAATGCTTAGTTCTGGTGGAACACATAAACACCTATTTAAATGTAAGTAATAAAATATTGTGATTTATCCAACAAGCTGTTTTCATTATAATAAGCATTAATTTGAAAATTAGCTAAGTGGACAATTCGAATAGAGAGGGACTAGTTTTAACAAATATTTTTGTATTTTATTGTATGAATATTATTATTGGCGAAAATATTGCCGTTATAACTTTAATCAGAAAATTATCTTTCAAAACAAAATTATTAAAGATGTACAGTTTCTTAACTTCTAAATTTATATAAAATTTATTATCTATACAAAATACTTGTGTCGAAAAACAACTACGTTAACACATCTATAACTTTATGTTAATTACATAATATTAATATGTCTAAATTGCCTTGATTAATTTCATATTTCACATTATACGTGTATATAAATTACGCAAAGCGATTTTTTAATTTTTCGAAGCCGTGTCTTTCTTGTGGGATGAATTTTTACTTATATACATTTGATATAATATTAATATAATATAAGCTTAGATCAGTTAGTATTTAAAATAAAATTAGGCTAGAAACAGACCCTGCGAAAATTGCGATTCGATTAATATTGGTATATTTTTCTATATTTTGTTGTTTTTGTTTTAAATAAAAATATTTTATAATAATTTCCAAGCGAATTGAAAAAAATAATTATTTATCTGCGATCTGTAATACCAAAAGTTTTTCATTCCCACACATCCCAGTCTTAAAAGGAGAAAATAAGGTGCATTTGCTAAAATCAACATGCAACTGTTTCTTTTATAGTAGTTTCATTCAGTGTAGTCTATGGTTTGGCTGGCTGGCCTTACAAAAACTGTCGCAAGATCTTTTTCCACCATTTAAAGACTATCCGTATGTTATTACGATATGGACGCAATCTGTTAATAGAGGCACAATATCTTAGCTCGTACTAGTACCTATTTATAATGCCTACACACAAAATGTCTCTATTTTTAAATAGTATAAAACGCACAAAAAAGTCAAATCTATAATTTTTTTAAACTTACACACGGTTTCTTAAATACACATATTCCTACGAATTACTAAAAAACTAGATCATACTAAATTTATTCCAAGGAATAATATTTAAAAAATAACAAATTAAATAATTACATTTTCTACTCAAAAGATACAACATTTTTTTTATTTTTTTTTATTATAAATTATAAAAAAATGCAAAGGATATTAGCAAAGATGATTTTGCTTTCTCGCATTAGCAAAACAAAAATATAACATTACTCTTTATATTAAATTGATAAGATTTTTGCAAGAGCATTTGCGATTTAGCAACATATTTTAGTGTTATAAAATGATATTATTTTTCAAGTACAAAAACAGAAGCTTAAAACTTTTACGAGGCTTAAAATTTAAAATAAATAAATAAGATATTTGCATTGAAAAACAATATTATTTTATTTCATATAAAATAGTATAAAATATTTTTCACTTGATTTCGGCTTGATGTAAGCGTTTCGTCGGTCTTCGCACTGTACATGCAGATTAAAAATATTATTTTCATAAGTATGTAATTTTAAAATTTTAAAATTAATTAACAAAATATAAAATCGTTTGCTGGTGTTGATGGTTCCATTAGTATATCAATATTTTCCTTAGGCCAGTGACGATGACGATGGCGATGATGGATGTTTTGAGAATGTCAGCATCTAAAAAAGGACAAAGAATTAGCTCACATAAAAAAAAATATCTGTTACTTCTTCAGCAGCCCTTAGAAGCTCACTTGTATTCTTCTAGCCATGGGTCATTTCAGTTGCAGGGCAGATTTGCCTTTATTGTCAAACATAAGCACACAAAATATCAACGTAAAATAGCAGCGCAATACTGCTGTCTTACTGGTGGGTGACGAGAACTTGGTCCTGAAGGTAATGTAAGGGCATCCTAATTTTTGAGTTAAAGTTTATGAGCTACAGAATTCGATTACGAGTACCACCACCTGGTGGTCTACCTAAACTGTGCTTGTTTGTCAGTTTTAGTTACACAAAAAATGGGGGAGGATGAATGATCACAGTACCATATCTTCTCAATCTCCTTAATACAGGCTATTTCATAGTCTAGGCAAGCAGATCAAAAGGTAAACAGAATAACACCCTCACTAGTGTTTTTACTTAACATTAATGCTATTTCATGTTAGAATTTTTTCTGTATTTATTATTATTATTATATGTCTTGCACCTCTGACGTTGCTTCTTGTTGCAGGTCTAAGTATTAATCCAAATGTACAAAAATTATTATATCACCGTAATCGGAAGCCACATGATCTTTCTGGAATTTCCCATAGTCGCCGCTTAGGATGATGATGGTTCGAAATGGGGTGATGATATTCTCCCAACAATGCACCTATCATTCCTCTGGTGTTCCAGTTATTCATGGTTACTAACGATCAGGTGAAACACAGGTTGTGCTACTTCTTCTATATATGAAAAATGGTCTTTCTATATAATTACATTCAATTTAAGTATGTAAAACGCTTCCACAAATGAAATTACTAGTGTGAATATTGTTACAAGTTTGGGGTTCGAGACAATGAGGACATCCACGACTTTTTTTACCACCAGGGCGGCGCCATTTAAAAGTGAGGTATTTGACAGATATCGTAGCGGGGAAGTTAATTTGTTTGGAAAGTGTAAAGGTTAATGTTTCTTTCTGTGGTATTAGCTATATTTTATATTAATAAGATTAAAAATAAATAAACCAATCCACAAATATTCATAAAAGATTTTTTTTTTAAAAACAGTTAAAAATGTGCAAAAAATTAAAGAGCAAACCACTGAGTATTAATATAATACATTTGAAACTCGTAAACTTTTATTAAAAACTAACTTCTCAATTAAATAACATTGTGTAACAAAAAACTTTATCTCAGTGTCAACAAGCGACACCTGGTGAGCAGAAAATTATTATCCCTCATTAAAAACTGCCGAGTGAATTATCAAAATTGACACTTTAATTACACAACACTAATTACAACTTAAAACCACACTAATAACAAAACACAATTATACTACTGATCACTTTAGTTCGCAGTTGTATCGCTTCGAAGTATTCGCTTGTATTGCCAATTTAATACTGACTGGGTCGCGGTCTATACCGGCCTTATATAGGGCCTCAGATAATTTCCAGAACCTTCTACTGTAGAAACATCTAGTATGTTTGAATACATACTGGTCCCAACTGACTAGGTGTCGATAGTTCCATAAAGTTCTTCCATGGAAATTTCTAGAAAGATCTTGACTCTCCTAGTTCTGCTACTCGATACTAGAGGACGCTAGTGGTATCTAGTGCTGCCATGTATCAGGCATTAATGGTGGGGCTCAACACTGCCCCCTCCTAAGACATGCACGTCCCGAGCATTATCGGGCCCATAATAACGCGCCAGATGATGCACATGGACGATCTTAGTAGTATCTCTTGCACCTTTTTGTATCCGGTAGGTTACGTCATTGATACTTGTCACAATCCGGTATGGTTCCATTTAGCTTGAAGCTTAGGAGATTTCCCTTTGATGCGAACTGGATTGTGCAACCACACTAGTGAACCTCCCTCCACCCCTTTGTTGTTAATTTTACGGTCATACCGGGTTTTCATCTTTTTAGACATTTGCTGGCCAGATTGTCTGATGTGCTCATAAATGTCATTCATTTTGTTCCGCAAGTCATATGCATAATCGGTTATACTGTGTGGGGGGGTATCAGGTGTCATTCCGGTGATCAGGTCTGCAGGCTACTGTAATTCTCTTCCAAAGTGTGTCACTGATTTACTTTGGTAAACAGCGCTTCGATATGACAACGAAAACGGTTGTATGTGCTTGTCCCAGTCTCGTTGGCGATTTTCCACAACGTTTGCTAGGTACCTCTCCAATGTCTGATTAAATCGTTCTACCATTAGAAGTTGTATTAGAACTCTAAGTTCTACCGTTAGTTGTTGTTGTTGTATTAGAAGTAGTAAGAAGTTGTTCTTGTTTTATGGGTACCCATAACTCAGCAAGATTCCTGAAATATTTGAGACTCAAAATTCCTTCCTTGTTCGCTGTGAATCTCTAAAGGTTCCCCAAAACGACAGAAGATTTCATGAACTAGTTTATCTGCAACTGTTGAAGCTTCTTGGTTTGGAATGGCGAAGACTTCTGGCCACTTAGTGAAGTAATCCATCATAATCATAAAATACTTGTTACCACTTTCACTTTTCGGAACGTCAATGGCTATCCTCCTTTACGGTGCACCAACATTATACAATTTCAATGCACCTCTACTACGAGTCTGAGGTCCTTTTACAGCCGCACAATTTGTACATTTGCGAAACCAGTCCTTGACATCGTGGACCCAGTAAAACCGTTCTCGGACCTTCAGTAGAGTTCGTTTAACTCTCAGATGGCCTCCTGAACAAACATTATGGTACAGCTGTAAAACATGTGGTACTTTAGCTTTAGGAACAACCATTTGCAAAGGACAGACGTCTCCCCGACCATCTTCCCATTTACAGCACAGGACTCCATCCTGAATCAGCAAGCTATCCCACTGGGCCCAATAGCTTTTCGTGGTCGAACTCATCGCTGACACGTCGCTCCACTTCGGCTTAGGAGTACTGGCCTTCATCTATTCCAGAATCGGCTTAATGTCCGAATCTTCCTGCTGTGCATGTTGTAGACTGTCCTCCCACTCATTGCTGAGCTGATCTGCCCTGAGCATCCTCACGATACCACTTCCTTACCCTCTTGTCTAGTACAATGCTTGCGATCTTCAGGACAAGGTCTTCTTGACAATGCATCCGCGTTGCCATGAGATTTCCCGCTGCGCTGGGTGGTGCTGTTAGCCGCACTACCCTCTCGAGATCGTTCACCATCCCTTTCTACAGTTTGCTTAGGGCAGCTGGATCGAAGATGGCCCCTTTCCCCACAGGCGTAGCACCTAGGGCTTTATATTTATATTTTATATATATTTTATAGCTTATATTTTATATATATTTTTAGGTTAAGGTATATATTGCTATGGGCCAATGTTCTTAATTTTTAAGTCCTTGATGCCTGAAATAAAGTTATTGTATTGTATTGTATTGTATTTACCCTTTATTGTGGTCGCGAACTGTGTAGCTCCTGCAACCTTCGGAACGATGATCCTGCCTCACGGCGTCCACCTCCCATGCACTGGAGGTGGAAGCCGTTCTTAAGCGTCGCGTGGTGCCCGAGCCTCACAGCAGCTCTGACTTCAAGGTCGCGGATGCCGTCAATGAATGTCTGCACCAGGTTCCCTTCAATGAGCGCAGGTATAGACTGCTATGCTTTTCGAACCAGCTTCTTCACCTCAAGGGCCCACTGCTGCAGGTTTTCAGGGCTGCGTTTCACGCGATCTTTGAGCTGTGCACGAAAGACGTGTTGCAGGTGAGCGTTGCCATATCTTGCCTGCAATGATTCAAGGAGCTGCTCGTAAGTCACTTCCTTACCGAGAGCTTCCAGAATTGAGGCCTGCTCAAGCAGGCCTAGGGTGAGAGCAGTTATGGCCTAACTTTTATTCTAGCTGTTCGCCTTTATGACAGCCTTGAACTGGATTTTGTAGGTCGAACAGGAAGAAGTCCCGTCGAACGGCGGAATCCACGTAGCGAAGGTGTTGTAGCTACCACAGGAGCTGTAATTCCATCTCCAAGTTTGAGGTCTTCCAGTGTTTTCTTCACGTCAGCCATCACGATGTCAAGCCGATTGTTCACTTGGTCGATTCGGGTTTCAGCTTCCAACAGGCGGTTGTCATATTGAGCAATCCTATCCTTCACCTCCCTTATCTCTTTCCCGAAGTTAGCGTGAAGGTTCTTCATGAGAAGCATCTGCTCTTCTCTACCACGCTGCAGCTGCTCTTCTAACCGACAGGCCTGTTCCTCCTGTCGGCGGGCCTGCTCCTGCAGCATCATCATCAGAGCACCTAAGTCAGGTGCTGCAGATGCAGGAGCTGCTGACGGGCCAGCCTCCGTGGTCGCCAGCCCTCCAACGTCTGCGGCGTTGCACCACCAAACCGTTTCTGGTCCGTCTCCTGGCTGCCGTTGACTCCGGGTACGGATACCCTCCAAGGACAACACCTTAGGTTATCTATATATGATGCCGATTTAAGGTCCTTACCTTAAATCGGCATCATTTGAGTCCACTCTGACACCAATTATTACGAGCTTGGGGTTCGAGACAATTAAAAACTGCCGAGTGAATTACCAAAATTGACACTTTAATTACAGTACACTAATTACAACTTAAAACCACACTAATAACAAAACACAATTATACTACTGATCACTTTAGTTCGCACTTGTATCACTTCGAAGTATTCGCTTGTATCGCCAAATCAATACTGACTGGGTCGCGGTCTATACCGGCCTTAAGTATGAACTAAGATAATTTCCAGAACCTTCTACTGTAGAAACATCTAGAATGTTTGAGAACATACCGGTCCCAACAGACTAGGTGTCAATAGTTCTAGAAAGTTCTTCCATGGAAATTTCTAGAAGGATCTTGACTTTTCTAGTTCTGCTACTCGTTATTAGAGAGCGCTAGTGGTAACTGGTGTTGCCATGTACCAGGCATTAATGGTGGTGCTCAACAGTATAAAAGAGTAAGCCGTTGCTGCAGATGTCCAGAATGTTCTAGCCTTTTTTTATAGAATAAGGATGACAAAAGAGCACACAGTCCACCTGATGGTAAGGGGATGCTGTGGTCCAGAAACATCTAAAACTATCCTCGATTATGAATCAAAATACAGATGCGTTGTCACTTTTGAGGATTAAGATGGAATGCCTCATTTCCAATAAAAAAGATCTCCGGTTCTCTACCATATATCAGCATTAAGTCACTATTTTAAGCTGGTATTGTGTTAGAACGTGGCCCTTCTTCAATTGAGCCGACCCATTCGTGCTACAACCATTATATAGCTGTAGCATAGCTCTACCACGTATAAAAGACTTGGTTCAAAGACTCTAGCTATCAGACTGTATCATACGTACCACTACAGGTATATTCGCGTTCCCTGTATCCACTCTCAGCATCGCAGAGACAGATTTTATCCTGGGGAGTCAGCACGCGGAGATGAGATGGGGCGTTGCTCGTGATGTTGGGAGATCCACAGATCAGTCCGTCGTTGCACTCGTCGCTGTTAGAGCAAACGTGGTAGAGGACTGGAAAAGAAAGAATTTATAAGGTATGAAATAAAATCTCGTTGCTGGTTTTTGGACTTATGGCCGTCTTGTAGCACGGTGTGTGGGTATGAAAACGTTACCTCGGTCCCCAAAATTGTCGAGTGAAAATTACTAAAGTGGGGAAAATGTTAGAACATACAATTTTAGAAATAAGAGTCTCACAGTATTTCTTGCTGGTTCCTCTTAGGTCCGAGGCATTTTTTGAGCCACTGGTCAAAGTAAAAAAAAAGTTTATTAAGAATTATTTGGAATCTATATTGAATAAAAAATAATTTATTCTATTCTATTTTATACAACTATTTTGTTCATAAGATTAAAATGAATACGAATTTATGAAATATGTTCTCAACATGACTTATATCCCTTTCTTTTGATGTAATCTGTATTCGAATTATCATGGAATCTCTGCGAGGTTACACGGTTAGGTTTACACGTTCTAATCGCAATTTAGTGTCGTATTTATGATTCTTTTATAGAACCAATTATTTTTATTATGTTTCTGTCTTCATACATCACTTATATTGTCTAACTACACTTTAACTACATTTTAATAGGCTTAAAGAGATCCGAAATTTTTTGAAACGTCTTAAACTTTGTCTTAAGACAGGGGCTCCCAAACTTTTTAAGTTCGCGACGCACTTAGGTTTAGTCTCGGTACCCTAGCTAGTCGAAATAGGGTACAATGATACTAGGTAGATAGACGCAAAAGTAAAACATTCACAATATGAAGCTGACTTTTTTTATATTTCAATAAGAGCTAATAATCTTCCGCTCGCCAGATGTCGCTAGTTGACACTGAGGCGAAGTTTTTTGTTACACAGTGTCATATAGTTGAGAAGTTACTTTTAAATAAAAGTTTATCAGTTTCTATTATATTAGTACACAAAACAATGACTTTAATTTTTTGCACATTTTTTATTATTTTTTGTTTTTCTACTTTTATGAATATCTGTGGTTTCGTTTACTTATTTTAATCTAATTAATATAAAATATAACTAATAGTAGAGAAAGAAACATTAACCTTTACATTTTTCGAACAAATTTACTTCCCCGCTATGAAATTTGTCAAATATTATACCTCATTATCATATCATACCGTATTACACCTCATTTTTTTAAGTGGCGCCGCCTTGGTGGCAGACAAGTAATGGATGCTCTCATTGTCACACAAGAATACATTTATTGTTTAAGAATAACAGAAAATAAAACACAATTGCAACGTGGTCAATGTGACGCGTTGACTCTACACATTTTCCAAAGCGTGGGATAAAATTTGACACCGCTACTCTAATTTCTTGCTACACATCACATGATCTTTGAGCGATATTTGCTGTTTATTACAGTTACAGTTGAAAATCCGGCTTCATAGCTTTATTAATAACAGGCATTCCATCTTAGTCCTCAGGTGTGACAAAGTATCAATAGCCACTTACCATCAGATGAACTATTCGCTTCGCTAGCCATTTCAGTTTTATACAAAAAAAAAAACCATAAATAAAATGTTGCAAAGAAATTGTAAATTCTTAGATCTTTTGTACTTTAAGTTGGATATTCATTTTGGACTCGTTTCCGAGCGTAAATACGTATCAGCGAGTGAGAGACGCATGCAGTTCGCGTGATTTATTTTTTTATTTTGGACCCATGAATATTTAACAGTTTTCGAAGAATGGTAAACAGGAGCGCCTCAGAGCGCCCTCCTTTACTCTCTACGACGAACCAGGGCGTCGCGGCGCACACTTTGGGAACCCCTGCCTTAAGAAATTAAAGTTCGTAGGTTTAATGTCTTTTTTAAACTTTTTTGTAATTTCTCTTTCTCTGACCGTAGGAGAAACGACAAAATTAATTACAAAAGTTTTTTTTGCCAACTTTTACACTGTTATAGTTTTTCTGTCTTGCAAGCGGAACATTTATAATTTCGTTTTGTCAGTCTGTTCTGATTTCATCAATTTTTATAAGTACAATGAGTCCAAGCTGCAGTTGTCTGTCCGGTTGTTTAGCTCTATTGTTCAGGCACAGTGCGACAGCAGTAGATCTTATCAAATCTATTATGTTTTTAATTATCTCTCCTTGCAGGCGAGATATCCTCTTAAATTGCCATGGGCTGCAGTAGCACGTAGCGAATTTTTAGTAGCAGTAATAGGTGGAATATTAGTATATTTTATAATGTAAGAGTGAAAAACGAGCAGACAGTCATAAATTGCTATTTTACGCTGGTGTTGTGTGAGAGCGTGCTTCTAAACAGATCGAGACGACCCATACGTGCTACAACCATAATATAGCTGCTGCACGGCTCTATTACGTACAGTTTGGTTGAAAATGAAAAATGAAAGTGAAAATAATTTATTTGACAGTTTGCGTCATAACAAAATGTTTAACAGCGGTTCTCACGATAAGCACGCAGATCTGTATTGCTAGAGCCATATTTGTTATCCCATTAGAAAAAATACGGTTGACCCTGCAGGCCATCTCTGGAACTTCCCGCTATGTTCGATCTCTAAACGTTTGACAAATATTCCATCACGAATGGATGGACCAAGTCCGAGAAGTAATTTCGAAGTTATTAAAAAACCACTTAAAAAATGACAACGATAACTTTCGAACGGATTAACCGATTTTGATGTAACTGGTGGCTATCGACGAGGTGTTTTAAAAACAATAATAAAATCTATTATAAAAAGTAAATGATTGGACTATAAATTCAAAAGTTTCAATGTTTTTTTAAATATTGAATGACTCGGTTCACGTTTGACCGGTATGCGGGGAGATCTTTCAATGTTTTTGCCTTGACATATGGTCTGAAACAACTGGTTACTACTACGTCTACGCGGATTCCAGATGTGGAGGATCATGTACCTTCCCTATTGGACCTTTTACTGACCTCTCATCTGGACGGATATCAGGTCTCCGTCGACGCCCCTCTTGGCTCCTGAGACGATTGTCTAGTCCGGAGTGTGGTGCCACTCTCGCTAACATCGCGGTTACATTCTGCAGGCTGCTGCCGTGTTTGGCACTATAGGTCAACCGATTGGGATAGGATGCGGTCTTTCTTTGCATCCTAGCCGGACGATCCCAACGCTGTTGCTAATTCTGTCGCTGATGTGGTACTTCAGGGTATGGAACTTTTTATTCCTGCCTCTGTGGTACCCATCAGAGGCAGATTTAGGCCATGGTTTAGACGCTCCTGTAAACTAACATCACGCTATAAGCAAGAGTGCTACCAGGCTTGGGCTAACGCACCAACGTCTCGGGATGTAAAGACCAGTGCCCTTAAAAGAAGTATAATTCCGCCTCCAGGTCTTTAAAAACTCATTGCCAAGGCAAAGTTAGAGCACTTCAGCAGAATTGGCGAGAAACTAGTTCGCCTACCTTCGGGTACCCGTGCATTCTGGTCTCTCGCTAAGGCTGTCCAAAGGAACTTCTGTCAGCCATCTCTTCCATCTCTGCACAGGGAAGACGTCTCATTGGCCCATGCCGCAAAGGAGAAAGCCGATCTGATCTTTCTTTGCATCCAACTTGACTCTCGATGACGGGAGAGCACACCACCGACCATTCCGCGACGGATATGCGGTTCACATAGCGCTCGGTTCACAAAGCACTCCTCTCCCTGGACATCCACAAGTCGAGTGTGGGCCTGTTGGAATACCTCCAATTGTGCTGAGGACGTGTGCTCTAGAGTTGGCACCGGTCTTAACGCGTCTTTTTCCGTACCTCCACTCGATAGTCCTGGTAGACAGCTTTCATCCACCCAATCCCTAAAAAAGGTGACCGCTAAGATCCGTCTACTAATCGCCATCACCTCCTTGTTCTCCAAAATAATGGAATCCATTATAAACCAGCTCATGCGGTATTTTGAGCATCACTAGCTGATTAGTGACTGCCAATAAGATTTTCGTCGGGGTCGATCAGCTGTTGATCTTCTGGTCTACCTGACTCAGAGATGGGCGGAGGCAGTAGAGTCCAAGGGGGAGGCATTAGTCATTAGTTTGGACATTGCGAAGGCCTTCGATCAAGTTTGGCACAAAGCGCATCTTTCTAAGCTCCCTTCCTATGGGCTTCTCAAGAAATTGTGCACTTGAATCACCAGCTTTCTTGCAGATCGGAGCATCAAGGTCGTAGTAGACGATACATGCTCCGATTACAAGCCTATTAATGCTGGTGTTCCACAAGGCTGCGTACCGGAATAAACTTGTGTCTGACGTCGAGTCTTTGCTGAATAAAGTCTCGGATTGGGGACAACTAAATCTAGTCCAGTTTAATCCCCAAAAGACACAAGTTTGCGCGTTCACCGTTAAAAAGAACCCATTGGTCGTATATCCTCAGTTTCAAGGCATTTCCCTTGTTGCCTCAGCCAGTATCGGAATCCTCGGCATCGACATATCGAGTGACGTGCAGTTTCGTGGTCACTTGGAAGAGAAGGTCAAATTGGCATCTAAAAAGCTTGACGTGCTCAGCAGCGCGGGACAGTATTTTACGCCGGCACACCTCTTGCAACTTTACATGACGTAGGGTCGGCCTCACATGGAATACTATTCCCATCTCTGGACAGGGGCTCCCCAGTGCCAGCTCCTTAAACTTGATCGCATCCAGCGCGGAGCGGCTCGAATCGTTGACGACCGAGTCCTACCCGATCGGCTCGATTCACTGGCGCTGCGAAGAGATTCGAATCTACCAGGGAGTGCTCTCAAGAATTGTTCGGATTAATCCCAGAGGCCAAATTTCACAAACACACATCGCGTAAAATTCCCGATATCATCCACACTATCTGGATGCTTGGCGGTCCACCTATTTACGTTTTACTAGGAGTTTTCTTCTGCATACGACCTCTCTGTGGAATAGTTTACCACCGGGAATTTTTCCGGACCGATACGGCGATATGAACCGATACACACCCACTGACACTAACACAAAAGGACACACACACACACACACGCACGCACACACACACCTACACACACACACACACATACGTACGCGCACAA